TCATGTCAAATATAGACCAATTTAAATTGGTCTATATTTGACATGATCATAAAAAAAAACTAAAGTTAATTCATTACTTTTATGTCAATAATAAACACGAGTGACATTTTTTTTATTTTGTATAGAGCACGTATACATTGAAATATATCATATCTACGCAAAGAATAATCTAAATACTTCATAACCTACTAAAAGTTCTATTTTTCATAGAAAAAAATATTTGTAGTAAGTTTTTCCTTAAAATAATGTCTAGTTGATCAGTATTGTAAGGCATGTTTCGACACCATTTTAAGGTTTTTTTTTAAATTTTTTTAGCCATTTTGTAGAGGGAAAAAAGTTGTACAACATATGTGAAATTTTTTTTTTTAATTTATTTTACTGTGCCATGTTGTACTTGGTTCACAGTTAGAAGAATATAACGAGAAAAAAAAAGAATACGACATTTATAGCAAATATAATACGTCAACGGTATAGGGAGAAAAACGAGAGAAAAGTAACACTACATAAATCACATTACACATATGTGAAATTCAGCGTGGGCACTTTTAAAATGACTAAATGATAGTTGATATACTGAAAACAATTGATATATTTTTCACTGAAAAAAATTGTCAATGTTAGACGATATTTGAGAAATAACTCCCGATCAGTGCATTGAAATATAATATGTAAATAGCTCACTTTGTTCAGCTGTCGGTCCTCTATATTCTGGTATATTACATTAATAATTTCATTAATTTATTGTCAATTAAAAAGATTCAACTTTTTAGGTACGATTTTTGACAATATTTTACAAATCACCTTGTCAGTGCTAAAAAGTCGAATCGGGCTAACTTTCCACCAACTCAACCAAATGCGCTAAAAATTTGAATTTAGAAGTTTTAGATGATGCTGAATAAGATGAGAATATCAAATCAAAAAACTAAATTTTGACGAGTGCTTCAATGTCTAGCACGATGATTGATGGGCTCGTGGGTGCTCTCTTAAGTTACTTGTATCTCTGTGATTATAAGGGATAGAAAGCTGAAATTTTAGCATAGAGTAGATCTAGATGTTCAGTATATATGCTGCAAATATCAGTCTATTCTACTGTAAAAAACATATAAGAAAAGAATTTTACTTGCAGGGAATCAGAATTGATTACACACCGTTTATGTCAGCACAAAAAGTAACAAAGAAGTACATTTTTATTCCAATGGCACTGGTCCTATGCTTTCTGGCCCTTGGATATGATTATTTTTGTTACACTACCAATCTACTGAAACGTTTTGACAGGATCGAGAACATATTGTGTAGTGAGATACGGAATTCTTCGACGAATAAGACTTCTAGTAAAGACAAATTACTGGCACGAGTTCTGGTCATTTATGTCTATGCTCAAACACATGGACTTAGCGAACAAAATCTGGCATATTTCATACATACAGCCGTACGCAGTTCCGATGATGCTGACTACTATTTTATTTTGCAACAGCTTGACAACAAGCCTTTCGATATAACGAAGCTACCTCCTTTACCATCTAATGGACATTATATTCAACATGAGAACAAATGTTTTGATATGGGCAGTGTAGGCTGGTTCTTATCACAGAATTTTATCGACAAAAATACTTATAGATACTTCATTTTTCTTAATTCTTCTGTTCGCGGCCCATTTATTGTTTCCTATTACGATAGTTCATTGTGGTATACTATATTTACGCGGCGTCTCAATCATCATATCAAGCTTGTAGGATGTACGATCAATTGCGAGATAGCTCCACACGTACAGAGCTATCTATGGGTATTAGATTTAGAAGGTCTCAATCTTCTACTCGACAATGGTACAATTTTCAGCTGTTATAATACCAAGAATGATGCGATTAACAACGCTGAAGTAGGAGCTAGTCAAGTTGTTCTCCATGCTGGTTTCGGCATCGATTCACTCATGCGTAAACATCAAGGTGTAGACTTTCGTCGAGCTGAAAATAAAAAATGTAATAATATGCGCATGCCTGTCTTCAAGGGCGGAGTCGATGGCATCTCATTAGATCCTTTCGAAGTGGTTTTTGTCAAAGTCAAAAAGGGCGTGGCTGAATATCAATATAATCTTGAGCGTGTTACTGCCTACGAAAAATGGATACGTTAATCATAAGAAGAAACTATATCGACTTCCCGACGTCTCAGAAATAGTATAGTTCTATGGTATATATCAGAAATGATGTCATCTATTCGTTAAAATAGAACTTGGCTTAACTTTAGACTCATAAAACCATACAGGAACGATCGAAGTTAAATCATGCTACATGTCGTCTTTTTGAATGTGAGGAATAAAGTTTTTTGATCTTTTTTTGCTTTTGAAGTAGTGAAAGACTGCACGTCGAGCATGTTTTATAATGAAATACTATTTTTCCTTGTTGCCAACTCATCGGAAGCCAGAAGCCATTTGTAAATGGAGAACTGACAGGAAACAAGAATGAATTGAGGGTGTGGTTGTACTTGTGAGTGTGGTTATGGGTGTGTGGTATGGGGTGGATCGGTGTGGGTGTGGAGTATAGCAGTGTGTGCGTAGGGGCGTGGGGTATGGGTGTGGGTGGGGTGTGGAGATGGGTGTGGGTGGGGTGTGGAGATGGGTGTGGGTGGGTGTGGTTGTGAGTGTGGATGTGAGTGTGAATCTCCTCTGTATCGACACCCACACCCACACCCAAATTGCAGTTTTGAAATCACTCAAACGACACATTCTCTTTTGGTGAAATGGTGAAGAACAGAGAAAATGACTACTCGCATTCGAGTGTTGACTAAAGGATTGTGAATACCTTTATTTCCTTATATCGCTTCAATCTCTCTAGATACAATGGCGGCTGTTGCCGACAAGAAAGAACAGCAGCAAGAGTCTGTTTTCATTGCATTTTACGCTTGTAAGGTGTGGGCGTGAGTGTGGGTAGGAGTATTGATGAAAGGAAGACCCATACCCACACCCACCCTTTTCACAAAGTAAG